GAGCCGCTGAGGTGGAGGGCGGCTTCCATGGAACCGAACGGTAGGACGATGCCGGTTGGGACTTTGAATGAGGCCGGGACTCCTTGTTCGTTGTATGCTGTTTTGTTTAGAAATTCGGAAAAATTTTGGTTATCTTTGGTTATCTGGGGATTTGGGAAGATGCTGAAAAGGAAGCAAATATGTATATTACCTTTCTTGGACTCGATAGACAAAGAAGCCAAACGAGCACAGGCTGTGGCTTTTGCACCCGAGGTTTGTAGGTCGGCATTCTCAAGCAATATGACACCATTGCTTGATACGATCTGAACAGCATTGTTGATCACTTGTGTATTATCCAAAAGCAGAGTAAATGTTACAAATCTAGCATTTTTAGTACCTCATTAAGTTCAGAGGTTTTGGTAACAATTGGAATTGTGCTGTTTCGTTCGAAGTTGGTTGAATTTGCAGTTGTTTGGTTTTCCGGTGAAATGTTGCTGTTGTTGCTCTGTGTTGAAGCTGGCGTTAAGCTGACACCTGTCGACGATGCTTGCAATCTGCCGAACATTTCCGAGGAAAAGTTATGATTATCATATTTTATTTCATTTTAATTTCAAAGATAACTGATTTTCTTCTCTTGCTCAAGACAAAACAGAGAACAATCATGTCAAATAACCTAACGAATTTTCCACTCAGTGTTTTCATATCCGAGACCTTCTCGTCATCTTCACAAGTAACAAATACAACCTTTTCCTGCAGTTCTGAAATAATGTCATTTTCCGTCTAAAGATAAACGCTTCAACTCATACGTATTATTAATTTTTTTCCTAAGAAAATGGTTATTATAAAACTTGCCTGTCGAGCTCTAACACCGAGATGAGACAAATGAGGAAGCTCCTGCAAGAGTACAACTCCAACAATGTTGGCTCCAGCAGCAGCTACCTGTCAGTCATTAATTCAACCAGAAAAAAACAATTATTTACCAATTATTACAATTCATATACTATCTTATTACAATTAAAAAAGATAAATACAGCGAGCACCTCTTCATCTCCATCAGCTTTGCTCACGACTAGAACAACCGGCCCTATTACAGAGGATGGTAACAAGCCCGGAATGATATTCTCCACCTGAACACCAGTTGCATGGATTAAAATCAAAGTCAACATAAGAAAAATCTAAAAGAGGGCTCGCGAAATCCCTAGAAAAACGTGGTTGTTGGTTTTCAGCAGGCAAAATGTAATTTTTAGGAATTACAATCACCATTTTCCTAATTCTGCATGATATAACCAGAATATAAAATGCATGGGAAGGGACTCTCCTTCTGTCCGACTTTTTCAAATAAATAACCATATTCATCTTATTCACAATTTACTCTTTTCTTACAAAACTGTTTCTCAACGATTTTCAGCTGCTACGGATCAGTTCTTATTTACGCAAAGTTTTTGCAAATACTCCCCTTGAAACAAAAAGTCTCACTAAATCGTTTCAAGATAAAGATGCTGCTCATGTAATCGTCAAAGAACTGAAGGGGAAACCAAAACTAATTTTGTCTTTAAGGAAAAAATCTTCTAATTAATGTGAAAAATCATTACAACATTATGGGATCAAATATCAGGGCAAAAATGTACTGAATGATACAAAGGCATTCTTTTTTTTTTTTTGTTTTATCTTCAACAATCCATATATCCATCCATTCTGAAAAGCAGAAGTTAAAGAGTACCTGGACGAGGGTTCCAAAAGCATTTCCCGGCACAAGTACATCCCAACCGTCAGATCCTAGTACCTTCCTAACAGCCTTCACGAGAAGCGTGCAAAGTTTTGAAACTTGAAAGATCACACTGCGTTTTCCATTTGGACGGAAAAAACTTACATAGATGTAACAATATCAAAAGTACGTAATAAATGTTCAGACACTCATTTATGCAGTGATTCTTATTAAATTTTGAAAAAGAATATAACTGGTACTATTGAGTACCATACCTCGCACGAATCTCAGCTTCAGTGTACGTCCTCACGGCATTTTCAGGAATCCCAAAAGCTTTTCCTAATATCTGCAAAGCCCAAAAATCACTCAGTTTCTCAATAGTTGAATCATAAATTTGTTATACAACATTGAAAAATAATTACTAAAAACAATTTTTACCTCAACTTTTTGAGGGAATATATGAAGAAGCGCCTCGGAATATTCTTCAGTCAGTCTCTTGGCTCTATCAAGTGTAGCTTTAAGTCTTAATCCCCATATTCTCGTACCATCTTCACTGCCTTTTAGTGATTACCACAGAGTATAATAGTGAAAAATCAGTAATAGTCATATATAGTTAAATATGACCAATAACATGCACTTATTGAAGTGAAAGGGCACCTTCGGTTTCTTGAAGACCTCTATCTTGCCATGCCATGAGTTCTTTACCGATCACTCTGCACTCTTCGGGCTTCCAGCCCGATAGGCCCAACTGATGAATGCCGATGATTAGAGCGCCAAGTGGATCACCCCAAGAGTCAACATTCTTTTGTTCTGCATTCTTAGCTAGCCAGTGGGCTCCTCCAACAGCTTCAAGTGCATTAAGAAACCTGTAATTGCCATGTTCAAGTTTCAAATACCAACAGACTTCCATTTTCAAGTCATCTCACATACACTTTCCATGGAAAAAAAAAAAGAAAAAAAAAAATTGGGGTTACCCTTCAGTGTTTTTGAATGCCAGTACTTAAATTCTTCTTCCAGTTTGATCATTACACATATATAAGAATTTTTCAACTTATCTGGAAGAGATCCCTTTAACTCGGATATTAGCTTAGATATACAAACAGTACTAGCTTCTTACCTCACCTACAATAGGATTATGCTTCAATGAACCACTTATTTTGATTTTTTGCGGAAAAATTCCGTCACGGTCACAGTCCAGTTGACCGATAATAATTGATTAATTATAAATAACCTAAGGCAAAATTACAATTTTAGTCCTGTTGGTTTGATCCCATGGCGTTTTTAGTCCTAAGAATTTAACATTTTTGCTATTTGGTCGTATGATTTTAAAATTCAACGCAATTTCAGTCCTTTGGAACTGAAAATGCAACTTTAAAATTATAGGACTTAGATTACTAATGAAAAATCTTTTGGATGGATTTTTTATTAACAAGTTAAGTCTTGTAATTTTAAATTTTGTTACAATTTCAGTCCCGAAAGACTGAAACTGCAGCAAAATACTAAATTACAGATCAAAAGACAAAAAGTTCAAATCTTGGGACTAAAAATGCTACTACATTAAACCAGCTGGACTAAAAATGCAATTTTGTCATAACCTAATTACTAAAGTAGGAGCCACTAAAACTATAAACACATCATCTACCTGCTTAAGAGTACAAATGCATAGTCTTCAAGTCCAACCTCACTAAGCCTCCACTGCAATCATGCAGATTATTTAGTTAACATCATGCTTTTGAGCATACAAAGAAAAATAATAGACATAACAATAAATGAATACGGAGACAAAGAAAATGTCACCTTTTGGCGCATAGCTATTGCAGCATCAGGAGCATCATTTCGGAGTCCACTTTCGAGACCCTTTGCGATTTCTTGGCGAAGTGTATCCAGAGCTTGCATTGTTCTCATCAACATACTTATTAGTTCACTTTCTGAAATATTACTGCTACTGTCCGTGTTATCTAGTATCTGAAAGAATAGAACCAATGAAAGTTTGCATAACCACACACACACACACACAAAAATAAAAGTACATGTGTCTAAAGCTACAAAAAAAATATACCTGCTTTGATTCTAAAAACAGAGATATGGCTGTTGAATTTGAATCCACAGAATCTCTGATAGATTCCAGATGTTCTTCCAGACTTCAATAATGGGGATTATTAGCAAACGATTATTAAAATTTGACAGATTGGTGAATGAAATTCTATTCTTCAAGCAAGATTTGATATGTGCTCAAGACTACAAATTCAGGAACTAGCTAACAAAAATACACGAGGACTATTAGCTTTATGCTAATGAAACACTAACTATTTTATTTCATCATCGTGTGGCATTTTTATGGAACTTCTAATTTAAGTGGACAAAAGAATCAGTTAGATGCAAAAGGGCGATAGGTTGGAATCAGAATAGTTAGGCCATCTTATTAGTGTTGGCTCTAAGAAAGAATAAAATGTTTGTAACATATATTATTCTTATTAATACACTTAACAAATTAGAACAAAGAAATCATAAAGTGTATGTAGAGTACCTTCCAGCATTGAAGAAATCTTTCAGCTCTCCATGAAATATCTTGAACTGCTCGACAAAAGCTTCACTGTATTCTCCAGGATTTTTCGTAATTCTTGCAAGCATTGCTTCTGTAGCAACTAAATCCTCAGGGCCAGCATTTCTATGAAGTTTGTTTTGTATTGTATGCTTAATTTCTTGCTGAAAAAATCATAATATAATGTAAATTAAAAGTATTCACATGAAAACAAAATCTTAAAAAATAGTAGTACTTAAGTGAAACCTTAAGGTCGTGAGGGATATCATTCCTGTGAGCAATATCTCGAATTCTTGTTAAAGGTACAGATGCTGTAAACTCAGCCTTGAAAGATGGTAAGCAAGGATGAATCTTGCGGATGACAAGTTTTTCCTACATATTAGAAGGTAATTGTCAGGAAGGCCTAATTAAAACGACAACATGTAAATAGGAAAGAAAGAAAAGAAACGAGCTAACAACATAATAGAAAGTTATTTATCCTCAAAATTACATACTAACTAGAGAATTTTGTATTCTAGGTTGAATCTCAGGGACAGTTCTGGTAATTTTCGATTTAAGTTAAAAATCAGCAGAAAGTTTTACTTTTACCTGAAGTGAAGTTTCTTTCTCGCTGGAAATTCTTTCTAATTCGCGAAATATAAGCCTGGAAATCTCAGCATGCCTGTTTGGCCGATGATGGCCTCCATCTTCAAAGCAAGGAATCTGACCCGTGTTTATCCACTGCATGAAAATCAAAACCATCTTACAAAGGCCATAATCCATATACTAATCTGGTCGAGTTGAGCAGATTGAAGACTAACAAATGTATGATAGAACCTTCAGATAAATTGCGGAATACGTGAGAGCTTCCAGACGCTTATCGTCATCGATGTTTTCAACCACAAGTTGTCGAACAACTTCAAGCTTTCAAACAAAGAAATGCAGAACAAACATATTTTAGTCTCAATAATATGGCTCTTTCAAAAGCTGCTAACATCCTAAGTGGCTGAATGAATGCATTAGATGGATAAAAACAGATACATTACCGCATTGCATGGTTTGGACTTTGGACATACAAAATACAGGAATAATTATAAAAGTACCCCAAAGTTTGGACTATTGTTCTGAAAAACCTAGAGAAGTTTCAAAGAAATCCCGGTTTTAGTATACACTTCAAAAGCAAAATGCATTAAGAAAAGTTATGTCCCTTACATTCTTAAACAGTACTGCAGTTATGCACCACATATACAAGACAGGATTAACCTCTTTTTTTTTTTTTTTTTTTTCTTAATTTCTCTTTTGAGTGATTACAATTTTCTCTGCACATTTTGTAATTGGCAAGTTTATTCCCATATTATATGGAACATGGAGAAGTCTAACTGTCTAACTCATCATAAGAATGGAAAAGACATTGAAAGTACATGGATGAGATAAGGGGTAAAAGAGGAGGTCCCAGTGAACTGATACCTTCCTCCACCAATTTCGAGCATCACGATCACCTTCCACTAACTTCAAAGAAATCCCTTCAAGGCCCGAAGTATCCCATTTTCTACTCTTTTCTGCATCAAAACCATCCTTTGAACGAACGAACGTGACATCTTTCCCTTGCCATTGCTCGACAAAAGCACTAGTGGTAACAGCTTCATCTAACACAATATTCCCATTTCCACTTTCTCGTGTCTCGACTTCAAATTCCTTGTCTTTCACCTGCTCCAGCGGAAATAAAACCACCTCTTCACTAGTATTGTTCCATTTACAGACAACATTGAAACTCCCTTTACCCGGGAATTTCAGAACACGATTATCGCCGCTTTCCCATGTTAATCCCTCCTTGTCTTTTCCAACTATCACGAATTTAAACTCGATTGGGTCTTGGCTTCCTGTTAGCTCCAAATCACAAACCCACCCATTTTCGGTCCAAGCCATCATGACTCTGTTCTTCCATGAACCCAATTCCTTCACGGAGCCCAAAATGGCCACGTGTTCACCGAATTCGACTTGGTGATCGAGCCTGATATTCACCTTCACCTTGTAGTAACCACTCGATTTCTTAGACTGCCTTTTCTTTTCCTCATCCTTCTTAAGATCCTCGCCTTCCCTATAACAATAACACATAGAAATAGGAAATTTTATTACTTTCGAAGAAAAAACAGCAATCCCTCCAGCACATTTGATCGTAAAACTTAAATTTTCAACAGCAAGATTCAATCTTTATCATAAAATTACCATCCCATAAGCAGATTCTTTCTCTGTTTTTCCAGCTCATTTCCAGATATCATCATATCTTACACTTAAAAGCTCGGACTTTTGATCAAGAAAATTAGAAACAACGATGAAGTATTAAAACTTTACCTCGTTTCAACCGAGGAAACAGCAGACACTGTCGTTTTAAACGAACCCCTTTTAGGGGGTCCGACAGATAACAAGCCAAGACATTTTCTACGCGTAGCTGGAAACTTCTGGTGAAGAAAAAACGCAGAAGGGCTGTTCTTCTGAGCGCACGCTGAATTACTAACAGAAGCAAATCTGGAATTGCAACCAAAATTGCAGTGCGCCACGAAAGGACAGTCCATTTCTATGAATGAACTGCAAGTGCGTGAAAAAAATGAAAGAGGGAAAAAAAATCTGAACTTTATTAAGTAAAATGTGGGAAAATGTTACAGTCTCGTTACGGCCATCGTTCGAGTGTTTTAACCGTTGCTAATGAGACGTGAAGAAACGATATATGTGGCTATTTTGTGTACAGTGGACTATTAAATTACTGTTATTAGCATACGAATGTGCAACTGCAGATTCCAATGTTAGATCTTGGGACTGATTAAAAACTTGAAATCGGGAGAAAGTATTTGGGATTGGATAAATTTAAAGACTCTTGATTCTTGATGGTGTGGTGTGTATTGCAATTTTTGTACACCGTAATGGTTTATGTTTGTTCTTGTGCCGCGGATAAGAGAAATTGTATATAAGTGTTATCAGTTTTTATGATATTTTTTTTCATTGTAATTATGATACATTTTAAAAAAAAAAATTATTAATTTGTTCTCATATTTAATCTCCAATCTTATATTTAAATAATGAATATTAATTATTACTATCTAATGTTGCAACCAAAGTTACAATGTGACTCGAGTTGCGACCGGTTTGGTTTGGGAATATGATACTTGTCTCAATATTATTGAATAAGTGTACTTTTTATGTGAAGAAATAATAAAAACACTCAAATTCGTTTTTTTGTTTAATGTATGTAAAGAGAGACCATATTTGATAGTTTTTTGGAACATAATTACAACTAGTGTTGCAACCCGTGCGATGCACGGGACATAGTATAGAAAATATTTTGGCATCAATATTTAAGATAATATGTTAATTTTATTCGACACAACATATCAATATTAAATATTTATATTTATATTTTTTCAATTTATTTTTGTAGGTATGGATACTATTAGTTATTAGTTTATAATATTACAAAAGTGTAATAATTTTAATATATAATGATACAAATTACTTGCATATACTTATATAATTATCGATTATTAAAAGTGTAATATTTTAGTATTTATATTAGTTATTTTTAAAAGTGTCTATATTTATTTATTTAATTCATGTGTTTACAACGTATATAATAATTTAATTAAAAAACAATTTAAGCATTTTGATGTATGGTATCAGTGATTACCAAATGGTATAACTAAAATTATTACTTCACGATATAATTTTAGGTACTTGTTTTTCTTCATGAAATAATAGATAATAAACATTTTACTTTTTAACACATTGAATAGTGTTTATGTATATAAATATTTTAATGTGAAATTTATAATTCTTAATTTCACCTGGCCATCAAAAGATAATTTATTAATACAATTATTTTTTAAGTGGTATTATCAATACTAAAGATATATTCAAGAGAGTTATAATTTATTGACGGTTAAATTGAATACATTTTATCAAAATCTATCAATAATTTAAATTAATCATTAGGCTAACATAATTCAAAATAATTTTTTTAATTATTTTATTGTATATTTTAAGTTCTTTTGATTGATGAACATAATTCATATCTACAACCATGAAATAATAATTAAATTAATTTCTTATTCAAAATACGTTTAATCAATCAATCAATATTCTACTTACGTCAATTTATATTTAATGTGTATTAGCCATTGTGTAACCAAAAAAAATAACTTTTTTTTTATTTGTAAGATTTGCTAATAAATAAAGCTTATTAATTATATGCGAAATATAAACATAATTTTTTCATGCCCAAAACTATGTCAATGGTGGTAATATATATAGGTACATTATATAGATATAGATATCAATTTTTATTAACCTATATATCATTTTAGTGATTAACATGAGTGTCACTTATGTTACTTGAGTGTAATTTTATTTATTCTATTTATTAAAAGTATATAGTTTGAACTTTATTTTTCACACAAAGAGATAACTTTTAAAATATATATGTATATATATGTGAGTGTGTGAGAGTGTGTGCTTTTGTTACTGTCATTTTTTTTTAAATACCCATCCATCAAAACTGAACATTTACTAAATTATATTTTTGGGTATATTACTAAAAAAATTAATAAAGATCTTCACAAATCTTTGAGATAAAATTTTAATTCAGCAACCATCAAAACAAAACTTGTACTAAAAACTTTATACCTTTGAGTATATCGTTAAAATAATAATAAAGATCTTCACGAATCTTTGAAATTAAATTTTAATTCAATCTATAATTGGTTCAAATCTTCTCAAACTTCTTAATGAAATATTAAATTTTAGTTTTATTTAACAAAATTATGCCTTATAGAATTTGCCAAAATTGGCCGAAATATTTGAGCGGGAAAATTTGTGACAAATATAGTAAAATGGATTGGTCCATTATATAGATATAGATTCTAAATAAATAAAAATAAATTAAATATTTTAATTTGTGTTGAGTTTGGGATAAAGTATATTTTAGTTAAAAGGTTGAGTTGTGAAAGTGAATCAAAGAGAAATAATTTTTAATTATTAGATTGACTTGAATTAAGTCAGTGGATAAAAATAGTCTTAGGGTGAATTTGATTACAAAGGAGGATTGGATTAGGTTTAAATAAGTTTAATACGTCAAACTATGCCCACAATTATACGTGGTATTATATCTCCCCAATGAACATGTTTGGCCCACAGTTACTCGAGCCCGAGACTGCCGGAACCGGCCCACAACCGGACATGATTGAACAAACCCTGAGACTGCCGGAACCGGCCCACAACCGGACATGATTGAACAAACCCTGAGACTGCCGGAACCGGCCCACAACCGGACATGATTGAACAAACCCTGTACATATAGCCAGGCCGATCCTGGGCCCGTGCTTTGTAGTCTGGCAACCCGCCAGGCCGGGCGTTGGCCACGTCTACACCAATGTAAGGACCAACATGAAAATATGACTGTAATTGCAACAGAAGACCCGATATTTTTGGAAAAAAACATGTCACAATGAAGTGGCTTGCAGCTTCCCAGATAATCATTCCCAATATAGCCGCTGGTGCACTTTTATGCGGTGTGCATTCACTGTGTAGAAGTCACTGAATAAATTAGAAAGACTCGTGCTATTCCGTGCTGGCAAAAGAGAAAAGCGTGCTCATTTCTTGCCGAAGTTGGGTGGGTTTTCTCCCAAAATCGTACTGGCTCATGGCTTACACCACGATATTATTACATCTCTCTCTGTTAAGATTTTTGACTGAAAGTAGATATAAATTGTCAATGTTGCTGACTAGGTTGCCAATTGGATTTCGGGCCAGGTATGGACAGTTGGGGACGCATGGAACAAGCTCACTGAGTACTCGACGAATAGAGAGAAGATTAATTGGTGCTAAAATGTCACTAATTTATACGAATAAATGATATGAGAGCATATTCATTTATAAAATAAAAATAAAAATAGCAGCTGAACACAACCCGCTCAAATGCTAGACCATAATTTTAAAATTTAGTCACGTCACCCTAACACCAACGTTATAATGACAAGAAGTAAAGTTAACAATACACCTTTGAATTTGTTGCCCCAAAACATAGGCTCTCATTTATGGAACACGCCTTTCTTGGGTGCTTTTGATTTCTTGTAACCTTGTTTCTGTGAAAAAAATAAAAAATCTTGATCAGAAACTACAAAGACAATAGTAGCTAAAAAATTTGCACACGCTGGGGCAGAGGCCGCCAAGCCATGCTCACCTTCTGCCTTTCCAGGGCTTCTTTGTCAGTCCTTTCTGTCCAGGTGCTCTTTCGAAGTTTGATTGGACGGTTTCCAACATATTTCCCTAAAACAACGATACTTTTGTTGGGTTATAAAAATCTGATATTGATCTACAATCAGATATTGGACAGAAAGCACACAACTCACCATTCATTTCTTTGATGGCGGCCACACAGTCAGTTGGGTTAGCAAAACTTATGAACCCATAGCCCTTTGTCTTGCCAGTACGTTTATCTCTAACGACCTGATCCAAAACAAGCCACATTCAGTTCTACAAGTGACATGAGATTGTCTATGCAAATTTATAAGTACAACTGACAGCACTACACAACCGAGAGGCTTTGCATTTCACACAGAATTTAATAATTAACCTTCGAACATAAAAGTGTCAATTATCTACAACTATAAAGCACGTGCATGTTCACATCAAGGTCAAAAGCCCATCGACAAGCATACTTTAAACTTCCCAATCCAGTCTAATATTTACTACTCAGCAAAAATCTTTACAACATTTTAGTTTTTAACTTTTAAAATGCTTTTCAAAAGTTCAAACAGTTCTGGAATAACTAAATATTTAATTGGATGGTTAAGGAACTACAGGGAGTTTAAAAACTTAGGTTACCGAGATGATGGACACTACATATCAATAACCAACTTCTACACCTATTCTTAGCAACCAATCATATCTTTCCAGTATCACATGGGAATTGCCATCAGATCAGGCCAGCGCATGTCATTTTCTACTCATAGGAAAGTTGAACCAATAACACAAATATACACTGTAAACTAAACGTTTTCCGTGTGTTCAGCACCTAAATATCCAATGCATTGTGAGAAATACGGCATGGAATTAAAACAAGAACTACCTTATGACATAAGAATCAATTGAGGGCTCCATTCACTTCAAATTAACATCTGAGGAGGATATGCAAATGTTCATGTATGGCACTCAAAATAAATTGTAAATGAATACACGACTCTTGTTGAGTTAGCAGAAAACATACCCTGGCCATGTTAAATGAAGGAAACCTGGAAAAAGCTTTGGACAAAACATCATCATTCACTTCATTTCCAAGATCACCACAGAATAGACGATAGTCATCTGTAAGATTCCAACACATCAAAAAATAATAAGCTGGAAAAGATATACCATAATCAATTGAAATGACAGCAAAAGAAAGTATAAAGAAAGGCTGATCATGGTGCTAAGTGATGGTAAAACAAATAACATTACAAAGGGAATAAAAAATAAAAAATAAAAAATTATAGGTAATTGCCACCATTATACATATGAGCAAAATGTTCATACTTTCAGGCCATTCTGCAAGAGTGGGATCCTCCCAAGTCTGCCCAGCAGCTGTCCGGGGAATCGCTTTCTTCTTAGTTTCTGCTTTGTGCTCCACATCACTGCTGGCAAGTGCAGCTTTCACACTTTCAAGAGCTTCTGGTGTTATTGTTTGTGCATCCCTCTGAAACAATTGCTGTGCCTGTCCACATCCAAAAAAAAAAA